GATACCAGCTGACTGGTAGATTATAATGCCAGGCTGGTCAGATCCCGTTTGAGGCATGAATTACTTGAGGCTGATGACCCCTGGGTAATGGACCTGCAGTCTGCTAAAGAACACTCTTTTGACCTCTATACAAGAAATGGCAGGGTCAGCAAGAAAGCCTAATGCTTCTACTAGGGAAGACAATGAGTCAAATATGCAAAGGCTTTGCTATGAACAAACACTTGCACCTTCACTTTTGGTATCGACCCTTTCTTGGGTCAGTTTGACACATCATTCCTGCCTCTCTGTGACTGAGAGGTTTGGAGAAGCTCAGATACACCACTGTTGAAGATCATATTTTATCTATCTGCTAACCACTGCACAATATATATGTGAATATGTTCCATGCATAGCTTGTAGGGCTAACATAGAGATCTAGACTATTTCCATTGTTTTTCGAAACTAGCTAACCAATAAGCGAGTTAGTATGTGAAATCCAGAAAGGCGCAAATCAACCAGGGAATACAGATTAAAAGTTTCAGTGCCTTTATAACAAAGTTAAACAAGGGCCATTCTGAGCTGAAATTAACAAACAGTTTAATAAGTTTGGCTCAATCTGATCAGATGATTACAGCATCCATTTTAGGTACAAGTGACCTTACCGTATGAAAGTCTCATTAATTTAGAAGAATTTGGGTGGGGGTGGAGATCTTGTAGAAACACACAAAATTATGAAGTGACTAGATAAAGGTAGAGGCAGGAAGGTTGTTTCCACTGGCGGGTAAACTAGAACTGGGGGACAAAGACTCAAAATAAGGAGGAGCAGATTTAGGACTTAGCTGAGGAGGAACCTCTTCTCCCAAAGGATTGCGCATCTGGGGAATTCCCTGCCCAGGGAAGCAATTGAAGCTACTTCTTTGAATGTTTTTAAGGCAAAGTTAGATAGATTTTTGAACAGTAATGAAATTAAGGGCTATAGTGAGCAGGCAGGTAAGTGGAGCGGAGTCCACGAAAAAAATAAACCATGATCTTATTGAATGGCAGAGCAGGCTCAATGGGCCAGATGGCCTGTTTCTATTCCTATTTCTTATGTTAAAACCAGAAGTGGAAGCTGAATATTGATAGTCCACGTTTCCAAAAGGATTATGTGAAGTATTGATATATTCACTGAAGCCAGGTACACACACAACTTGTGCCTGCACAACCTCAATAAAGATTAACTGGAGGCATCTTTTTCTACTAAGCCTGTGTTTGTTGTGTGGTGGCATTAGAGAAGTGATTCAGTCAAATAATCTACAAATATTGAAATATTCATGATTGTATTTCATCACTTGCTAATTTAAGTCAAGATGACTTTGCATTTTAGGAGCTGTAAGTCTGAGCAATTAACTCTCTTATCTTGCAACAATGAATTGTGATTCACCATTTCCAAGATTCCAGAAGACCCAAAGTCTCCTGTGCATCACTGGTCAGCTTTGCAATCCATGGACAAATCTCCAGCCCTCTGCCTCTTCCTTGTACTTTCAGCATTCTTCTGCAAGGATGACATCACAGAACAATGGGTGCTGCTGAAACCTAACTGCATGTGAGGAATGATGTAAATGGATTATGCTTGACAAGACAGAGAAAGGGGAAGTACACTACAGGTTGCAGGTTAATCTGCAACTTTGTTCACCTCTTACGTATGACTTGCTTAGGAAATTAAAATACAGCACAACCACACTCCTCCCGCTCACTTCCAGAACCACTCCAACCATACCTTCACTGTGGTGGCAGCAGATTATTATTTTTCCGTTGTTCTGAAAGCAGAACCTCTTTCCTCACTTTTACTTAAACTCTGCAGTTCATAAGACCATAAGGAATAGGGAGTAAATCATTCAGCCCCTTGTTCCAGGATCCAACAGGATTGTGACTGATCCAATTTTCCTCACATCCACTTTCCAGCTCTTTCGTCATAACCCTTGATTCTCACACTGATCAAAAATCTACGTATCGCGGCCTCAAATATACATAAGGATTCTGCCTAAAGTTATCTTGTTTAATTTGCAACTGGTCTTTGCCCTTTTTTTAATTGTCCTATTAAATACAAATGCAATGTTTCAGATGCCTCCATCATTACATTTGCACTAGTATCGTGAAACTTTACAATAAAATGATAAAAAACATTGAAATTCATATTAAAATCAGTCAATCCCATCACAACTGTCAATCTACACTCTTAATAACAAATCAATCATATATTCAGTTTATATTCTTAAAATACATCACCACAGATTAAAATCTGATGACAAAGCTATCACTCCATATGAGAAAGAAATCTACACATAACATAAGATACAGAAATAGAGATAGAAGAAAGATCATGTAAACATTCCAGACTATTCTTATTTTTGTCTACAAACACAATCATGCAAACTCACCGAATTGTGATTAGTTCTAAAAGCCAGTGAATTCGAACTTGTTCTATGCCATTGTGAGGTACTGAGGCAATATATGCAAGGTTTAATTGTTGGTCTCTGCTTAGGTCAAACACATCTGCTTTGTTGTGTGGCAAGGGAGGACTGTCAAAAACATGTAGAAAGGAGAACAAAAATAAGTAAACTGTCAATAAAAATCAAAGTAGTATAAAACTGAATCAAAAAGTAAATCTAACCATGAGAATAAAGACACAATTTAGACTAAACAAAAATAGCAAGTTATGTTTTCCATTGTAGGCATGGAACATAATTAGAGGTTACAAAGAAAGCCTGCACTAAATTATTATGCACACTTAATAAATACAAAGGCACAGATATCGTCTAGTTGAATAAGGGATATCCAAATTGAAGTTAAGATTCTCAAAACCACAAGAAACAATAAGACACCGCATTCAGTTCTCGACACAGGTTAGGATTCTCCAGAATTATACCTGGGCTACAAGGGTTAAATTATGAAGACAGGTCGGACAAGGTGCAAGTAATTAAGAGAACAAATTGAGGTGGTTATGATTATTTAAGGGATCAATAGGGTACATAATAAGGTGCTTCCAAACAAATGGCCATGATCTCTATGACTCTACAGCTCCTATAGTTAAAGCTTGGCCATTCAGATGTGGTCGTAAAAATGTCTCTTAAGCTGAAGAGTGATGGGAATTTGGAATTCTTTCTTCCAAAAAGCCACAGATTAGATCAAATAAAAATTTCAAAATTGATGTTGATAGATGTACAAAATGGAAATAAGTTGGGGAAAAATCAAAATAACATACGGATCAATCTGAATCGTTAAATAGTTTCCAGAGGCTGAATGGCCAACGTGCCCAACGATGCAATGGTCATCTAAATCCCTGATGTGGAGGTGCCAGTGTTGGACTGGGGTGGACAAAATCAAAAATCACATGACACCAGGTTACAGTCCAACAGATTTATTTGAAGACACAAGCTTTCAGAGTCTCACGCTTTCTTCAGATGTCAGTGAGAGAGTTGGCACTGGACACAATTTATAAGCAAAAGATCAAAGGGTCACGGAACTGATGCAATGTTGAATAAACCTAAGATGGCTGTTAAATCTTTAATCAGTTAGAAAAAATTAATACACAAATTCCCAAATTTCTTTCAAGTCACTGCCCTGAGATAACTAAAGGTTTTATCAATTCCCTTGGTATATCAGAGGTGACATCACAGGTCAGATAATGCATCTTAGGTGTGAGACCTTGTTTAGACTCTAGCTGTGTATTAACTTGGGAGTCAGGCTAGTTTTATTTTCAAAGTAGGAATTTATAAAATGCCACACTGACTGTCTACAAATTGTGTGCGTTTTGATCAAACTAGAATATATCTGCAATTTGCAGGTTTGTAATTGCAGATGCATTCTAGTTTATTCAAAATGCACACAAAGGAGAAGGAAAATAACAAATGTGAAAAGAAATGAGGAAATCAGAAAAAGCTAGAAAAAAATGTCCAAGGAAGCAGACTTTCTACAATAAGAGAAATATATTTATACAGTTGTAATTGAATTTAATAAAAACATCCAAAGCAATTTCACAGAATCTTTATAGAACAAAGTATGACAGCAAGCCATTTGGTAAGATAATCAAAAGCCTAATGGTCAAAGTGTTTATTTGTAAGGATTGTCTTAAAGGAGGAAAGTGAGGCGAGTCAGGAGATGTTGGGAGGGTATTCCAGAGCTGACAGCCTAGGCAACTGAAGGCACAGTCTTTGTTGAGCAATTAAAACGGGATCTGTACAAGAGGCCAGAGAAGCCTAGATATCTTGGTGAGTTGTGGGACTGGAGGATATTATACAGATAATGAGAAGTAAGACCATTGAGTGATTTGAGAACAAGGATGAGAATTTTTAAATCCAGACCAGGTCTCAATGCAGGTTAATAACAGTAGGATCAATAGGGGAACGGGATATGGTGCAAACAATGTCATGGGCACAGAGTTTTGGATCACTTTCAGTTTATATGTGGTAGAATGTGGGAAACCAGTCAGGTGTGCATTGGAATTCAAGTACAGTCTGTCCCTGGGTTGCCAATAGGTTCCGTTCCAGAGTCCATTCGCATGTTGATTTGTACACAAGTTCAGAACACAAAGCAGGACAATAGGAAATGTTCAAATGTCAGACCTTTAAAATTACAACTGTGTGGGATCACATTCATAAGTACAAGCTTTTGTGTCAGACATTCATTAATCAGGGATCACCAGTATTCCAAACACTGATATCTGGGACCAAACACTTCCTTAAAGCTTTGCCTATAAGTATCATACCAAGTTTAAGACCTGTTCTGCATTTTTACAGAGGGGCAGAATAATCCCTGATTAGGTAGGTGAATAAACTTCTTGCTGTGTCATAGAACTACACTTGTTCAAGTCTCAAACTGTAATTTTTTTTCCCCTCCAGCTTGCTACATCTACCTAAATAGCCAACGAAAAAACCATGTAGCATTGTGCTGCTTTAGCATGGAATGCTTAAACACATTTCTATCCAATCAGTAAAACTGTTGCCATGTTACAGGTGTAGCAGGCAAAAGTTCCTCGTAGCATGGTTTGGTATGTTCTGGAATGCAAGAGACGAACTGAGAAAAACATCCAGTGGCACATTTAGGGATTTTGCCCTGCCACACATTGACTGGTTTCAGAGAAAATATAATTAAGTTACATCATACTTGAGAAAAGCACTCATGATGGTTACTAACAAACATTATTTGAGATGATCAATTTTTTAAAATTACGTGTTGTTCAGTTTGACAATCCATAAACTTAAAGACTGGTTGAAAGGTGGATCCAATGATATATTTAAACGAGATTTCAATACCAAATCCCAACGATGACTGTGTCCAGCAGCTGGAGCAATATGCTCAAGTACTTATTTAGGATATGTTATTAGGGCATTCCAATTGTATGAGTTGTTACAATGTTATGTAGGAGTGCTTCATTAGAAATACAAAATAAAAGGTTTCTAATGATTAATTGCGCATGATTCTACTGCATCTTTAAAATTAAAAATTAAACATTTACCCAAAATTGCGTGCCAGCTGATATTGTAAACAGCTCCCTTTACTTCAGTATAATCTATGTCCTTTTCAAAATGTCTGTCATCATCCTTCTCTTCATAAAACCTATGCCTTACCTTAACATTTCGCAAACTACCACTCCACTTTAATCTCCTTTCCCTTACCAAAATCCTGCAATAGAACCATAGGGCTAAATTTTCCTAGTCTATAAGAGGCAGACTGGGAATCAGGAAGGCTGGCAATAGGGTAGGAATAGGTATAGAGAGCTTGAATGACATCTTTCTACTGCCGTGGCATACTGCCAGCAGCAAAAACCTTGGCAGCACAGCTGCCTGCCAGGCAACCAATCAAGAAATCCTCTCTGGCACAGTGTATTGCCCTTTTTCAACTTTTCTGCACCATTTAACAAAAATGCCACCTTCCTCCAATATGGTTCCTCTGTTGTTCAGCACAGTGGGATTGTCTTCATCTACAAGATTATTAAATTGCAGAACAAAGTTATTTGATTCATCAATTAAGTTGCAAATAATTGCCAAATTGCTCTTACAAGGAGCAAGTCTCACATCTCAGGCTCATTTCTTGTACTGTTCAGATTTTTATCTTCAATGCTTATCCATTTCATTTTGAAAACCACAATTGTATGTGCCTCCACCACTCTCTCAGGTATCCAAAACAATTGTTTAAAAAAATGTTCTCATATTGGCAAACGAACCAAAGGCAATCACCTTAGATCTGAGCTCTCTCGTTCTCAAACACTCCAAAGTGAACAGTTCCTATCTAGAACTAAATCCTTAATTATTTCATACTCCTATCAAAAAGCGTTCTCAACCTTCTCTGCTGAGACAAGTACTTGCAACTTTGCAATATCTTATAGCTGAAGTCACTCTTTCCCAGAAACTAGATCTTTTCTGCACTCTCTCTAAAGGCTTGTTTCATGTCGTTGTTTCAGTCACTAATTGGGGTCATGATTGCAAGATATAACAACCTCTCGTGTAAAAAGGTTTATTTTGCTCTCTGTGCTAAGTCTGTCACATTCAATAAAAGTCTTCAAAACCTGTGGACCTTTCTCATGTCAAGATTTCAGGCACTCTCTCCCTAAATATGTAGGATGAAAGAGCACCTGGCCATCTTCAGAAATGCAACAATTGTAACCATCTTCAAGAAGGGAGATAGAAAGAACTTTAGAAACTGCGGAGGTTTTTTCCATTCTTGTCCATAGCAAAGAAAATCTCAATATGCATTGTCCTGAATCTCCTGGACCCTTTGATTTTGGGAGGATTTCCTCAGCCAATGTCCAGAGAAACCCTCTGACATGATCTTTGTTGGCAGTCAAACTAAAGAAAAATGTTGAGAACAACAACTCTATACTGTATGAGCAAGAAACTTCATCACAATGCGGCAATTCACGATGATACAAATCATACCTTGAACGAGGGATTTGAAAGAGACGCCTTCAAAATCTAAAGTGGCATCAAACAAGGTCGTGTGGTCACCCCCATACTATTTACAATCTACCCAATAGAGGCAAGTTACCTCAAAGATCAATTCTTTATGGTATCATCAGATGGTACTGATTGTATAAATTGATTCTAAAGGGTTAATAGAGATTACTGCAATGTTATTGTTGGATACCATCTAGACAGGAAACTCTACCTTTGTTCACCTCCATGTCAAAACTAAACTGTTGAATATAGAGTTTTATGTAACTGTAGTTTCACTGTCCAAGATTTACCAGCCACTTGCAATCTCTTCAATTCTGCCCTTGACTGGATGAAAACAAAGCGCATATCAAAGCA